AAATCTAAATCTAACTGAAAACTGAAAAACTCTGAAATATAATGAGGTGGTTGAAATTATATTATAATAATTGAAAAACTAATGAAATACTTATGAATTATGTGAAATTTTGATATAATTCTCAAGTGAATTTGCAAAACCTAGTTCGGAACCTACTTAACTTTTCTATAACCATGTATTTATTCAACTACATAAATATGTACAAAACAAAATAGCTTTCTCAAAGACTACTTTAAAAACAGCTTCTTAAAATGAATTTTCAAATATTAGATCGAAAATGCGTGTACACTAGAAGGATTATGAGGTGTCTATAATAAATTAATATTATGCCTTTTAATAAACGTTTGATTTCATAAAGGTTCAACTTTAAATTTTACATATCTCTCTACTATTTCTCTCTTGTATTTCTAATCACTAAAGATAATTATCAAGTACAATCGTGTAATACCTAGTATATTACTGATATAGCAATACTAAACTACCTAAAGTTGAAAGTTTCAGTAAAATGTAAGAAAAATTAAAAATATAGCTGAAATATTAATAACATCTATAACTAAACTTAAAGTAATAAAATAAGTAATAAGTAAAATGGGGTATAATTAAAAAATGTATATATGAAAAATATAAATTATATATTTATGAAACAATCGTTAGTAGGTACTTCCTGGTCTTCTGAAAAACTGAAAAACTATTGAAGACTTTTTTTTACATTTCCACATAAAATGTCTTGAATATACCTGTATATATATATATATATATATATATATATATATATATATATATATATATATATATTTTTTTATTACATAATAAAAAATGAAATTATTAAATTACTGTTCGACTTTTGTTTAATATTTTCTCAACTCTATATTTTTAATTAACTCAACAAAATATTTCAACGCACAAAAAATAAAAATCATGTTTGAAAACCACCGTTCCACGTTTCGGCTTGATCAAGAAGTTTAATGAGAATAAAATAACACATACTCAACATAACTAATGTACTAAATAACACATAACTCTAGAAATTTTATTCATCAGGAGGACCATAGATAGATATTTATTTAACTTTTAATTTTAACAATAAAATTTTACATTTTACGTGAAAAACTGTCTAATTCTGATGAGGTTCACAGCTAGTGTTGGGAAAATTCGAATTAAATAATACGACTAATTCGATAGTTAATTAAAACTAACTAATTCGAATTATCTTTTTCGATATAATCGAGATAAAAATTAGTAGTATTTTATATTATATCTGTGGTAACCGAATTACAAATGAACATAAAACATAACCTCTTATGGACCTTGAATACGAATATTAGTAATTAGTATAGTACTATTAGTAGTATTCTTTCGATCTGAACGAACTGAAAATTTTCACTTAAACTGATTTATAAAGGGAATCGACAAAGAAAGGAACGATCCGATATAGAAAAATCCAGAAATCATTGTTATTTCCTATACCACGTAGGAATAAATCAGTTTAAGTGAAAATTTTCATTTCGTTCACAACGAAAGAATACTACTATTATTTGGTTCATTTCCATCTCACCCAAATTTCACCGAACACCTGCCGAACACTAAAATTAATTTTCTTCTTTTATCTAAATAATTATTGTGCAACTGATAAAATAAAAGAAATACGAACCGCACGTAAACAAAGGACATACTTATATCGTTTTTAAAAAGCTTTTATCTTTTATTTTAGATATAGGCTTTTCAATAGAATTGAAACAATCATAAACTCGGCACTTAAATTTAAAACTTTAAATTATGGTTTAATTTATTAAACGGCTTCGGCACAGTTAATAGAATACATTGAATAAAGAATATTTTTTTTTATTTTTTATTCAGTGATAGAATATAGGTATAGCAATGGTTCAGATTTGTTTAAAATAGCCCCTAGACGAGCACTAGCTGGGACGAATTTATTTTTAGGTTAAATTTATAATATATATTTTTTTTATTTTTTATTCAGTGATAGAATATAGGTATGGCAATGGTTCAGAATTTGTTTAAAATAGCCCCTAGACGAGCACTAGCTGGGACGAATTTATTTTTAGGTTAAATTTATAATACTACTAAATAATTCGAATTATTAATTCGATTGTAAAATGTGAATTATTACTAATTATTCGATGGTGAAAATAATTCGATTATTCCCATCACTATTCGCAGCCATCTTCTTTCGCATTTCGCAAGCGAAATCGACCCTTATCAACCGACTACGGTAGCGCCCTCTCTTCGAGACCTCTTGAACCACGAGGCGATTCATATCACCGAAATCCGAAATCGAAAAATCCGAACAATTACTTTAAACTCAAATCTGCCTCCATGACAACCATTTTTACTGTATAAAAATACTACCTTAGAATTTATAACGTAATTACCTTAGTATTTATCTCGATTTTTTTTTCTAGCCATTTTTAAAATACCTTTTAGAAGAGATTTGTTCAGATAATGTGTTGGCTCACTACCTTTTCCTGTTATCTTCCGGTGTCTATAACTTGCAGGGGTGATATGACGCTTCTTTTCAGCACTCCATTTTTTCCGCTAATATCTTCGAGCACTAGAGCCAGCAGAATGATCCCTCCGGTTTTCTTTTCGCGCTTCGCCGATCCGACTACGGTATCCGAAATTCGACGCCGACGGGTACCCGTATCTGAGACGACCGAATAGATCCTCGAAACCGACGCGACGCGACGCCTTTACGAAACGATAGTCTCAAAGATCAAAGACAAGTCAAAAGTCGTCAGTAAGTCAAAAATACACCGTTACGGCCTAAGAACGCTGGATTAAACTCATCGCCACTTCTGATGTAATCGGGAGATTAATATATTTAACAGAAATTGATATTTAAAATATAATTTTAACTAGCTTGACCAACAATGTCTTCTCTTGGCCGAAATCAACAACCTCTGGCATTCAACTGTTTCCAAAGCCTAGGACTCCGCTACTCGCAAACATCAGCGGACACGGGGTGCAGGCACCGCGTGAAAATGACTGCCTATCATAAGGATCATAGGCGTCGATAACACATTAGAGTTTTATTTATTTTTAAGTTTTTATGCTCGCATTAGAGCTGTACTTATTTTTAAGTTTTTATGCTCGCATTAGGGCTTTTTTATTTTTAAGTTTTTATGCTCGCTTTAGAGCTTTACTTATTTTTAAGTTTTTATACTCGCATTAGAGCTTTATTTATTTTTAAGTTTTTATGCTCGCGTTAGAGCTTTTTTTATTTTTAAGTTTTTATGCTCGCATTAGAGCTTGACTTATTTTTAAGTTTTTATGCTCGCATTAGATAATTAATTGCCATTTTTTATTAAAAAAAAAATGGAATGTTTTTTTTTTTTTTTATAAAATTTCTTTTTGAAAAAATATTAAAACAACTAATACTATGCGACGGAGCTGTTCGCCGGTGAGCAATAGGTCGTAAGCTAGTGAAAATTAAATTGTGATAATTACGTCTTTATAATATACTGGGCGCCACTCAGTTTTTCCATTTTACTTTCAAAACTTCTAGAAAGTTGAGAACTGAGAGAAATCAACTCAGAATATAGGTATTATTTGTTTTGGGAATTACATTTCTCAGGCTTAAAAGTATTCCTCAAGATATATAAGACGATATTTAAAAGATATTATTCTTGTGACAGTAGCTTTTAGACTTGTTGCTGTTCTCTGAAATAGAAGCAAAATTCTGAGCGAGTTTGTTGCTTATATAATAGAGCAGACCGTACTTCTCTGAATTTGTCTGGATGGTCTATATAGGTTCCTAAGTAAATCCATTGTATGACTTACATATAATATTCATATTTTTGGGCCTATGTTTGATTTTACTAATCAGCATTTCTTTCTACCTCTTAAATTTGCATTTTGTGAATTTTTAACATTTATCTATCGTATTTATGACAAATTGACTTACTAGATTAACGGACTGATTTTCTTTAGTAATAATAGTCACATTGTTGGAAACACATATATACAGGATGTGACTAGAACGTCGCAACAAATAAAAAGCTTTTATTATTGAATTATTTAAAAAATATGTGTGCCAAGTTTATTAACATAACGGGTTTTAAAAAAATATATACATGTTTTTTGAAAGATGTTCAAAATGTCCTAAACTTTCATCAAACAATGTAAGTCCATGTATATTCATACAACTTGGTACATAGATGTAAAATCAAATTCTGATCAACTTTATTTAATTTTTTATATCCTGTATATAGGCTTCATACTTTTTATTTTCATCAACAATATTATAGTACAAAAATATTTATTTGATCTCTTCTTTTAAGCCATATTTATATTAAATGTAAAACTGGTGGACAGTAAGTTTGTGTATAATTGTGATTTGTTAGTATTCGAGTACATACTCTGATCCTGTTTGTAACAAATATATTTTACATTTTTAATTTTTTATAAATTTACCTAATTTTAGATTAAGATTTTTGCATGTATGATTTGGGTAACATTTATTTAACTGTATTAGATATAGGTTTAGATTTAAGTAAATTTTAGATATTGCTAAGGAATCAAATTTAGTCTTATCAAATTACTTAGTATATTTTGGGAAATGGCTGACCAAATATTTCCAAATGAGTAAAAATATCTAAAATGGAATAGGCTCTATATTTACATTACATTTCTTAAAAAGTATTACAATAGTCACATGAATAATTTGAAGATTGAATAATTTTTATTTAAGGATCTAAATATGGACTATATTATAATTATAGTAATACTATAATGTCCTTATGTATTTATTACATCTCCTTTTAATAAATATGTAAGTATATTATTTCTATTTATATTTTTGTACTTGCAAGATTTGATTTAAAAATCTAATAATTTGGCTACAGTACTCAATGAATCGTACAGTGTGTAACTAATTTGAATATACAGGGCGTACAAAGTCGAACTATCAATTTATTATGTTATATTCACTCAAAAGTAACTTAATTTTATTTAAGTATTATTTATCTTTCTAGACAGCCATGGGAATTATACCTAGTGCTTTTGACTGCTACCAAGTGAACAGGGGACTCAAAACACTAGATTTAAGAATGCGACAGCACAGTATAAACGGTCTGACCATAGCAAAGTACTTGCAAAAGCAGCCGAAAGTCGAGAAAGTACTCCATCCAGGTCAGTAACACTTTTATTTTTTCATTTCTCTATGTAAAATTTCTGTTTTTTTTTTCTTTATAGGCCTAAAATCACATCCACAGCACGAACTGTTCCAGAAACAGGCTTCGGGGCATAGTGGTACCTTTTCCTTCTACATAAAAGGTGGTTCCGAAGAGACCAAAACCTTTCTGAATAATCTAAAAATATTTACCACTGCCGAAAGTTTAGGAGGATATGAAAGCTTGATAGAAATTCCGTAAGTAAATTTGATTTAACCTTAAGAAAAAAAAAACGGCGTCAGAGTAGCCTCGGAAAAGAATCGCAGTAATTTCAAAGCCAACTCGACGCCGTTTTTTTTTCGATAATGCGATGTAGGTATTTAAAAAACTTATTTTTTTGTTCTAGTTCTATAATGACGCACGCGTCTGTTCCACCGGAACACAGGGTGGTTCTGGGAATCACAGACAACTTGATTAGGGTGTCTGTTGGTATTGAAGATGTCGAAGATCTGGTTGCGGATTTGGAGTTTGGTTTCCAGAAAATATAAAACGATTTTTTCTCGAATATTTTTTTAAAAAAATCCTACGCTACGCGGAACCTGAGGAGTCAAATTTAGTCTTATCAAATTAATTAGTATATTTTGGGAAATGGCTGACATTACATTTCTTAAAATGTATTACAATAGTCACATGAATAATTTGAAGATTGAATAATTTTTATTTAAGGATCTAAATATGGACTATATTATAATTATAGTAATACTATAATGTCCTTATGTATTTATTACATCTCCTTTTAATAAATATGTAAGTATATTATTTTCTATTTATATTTTTGTACTTGCAAGATTTGAGACTGATGTTAGTTTAAATTTTTTGTGTATTTTGTGATTTTGCTGGAGCTACTTAATCAAAATCTGTTATATATACGTTTTGTTTATGTACGATTGATTAATCGCTATATATAATCTAACAGATTTATAATATAATCCGATTTAAGATATCCAAATATCAAATCCATACATCCCCTCTCCTTGTGGATCTTTTGGGGAATGTAAAAATGTGAATAACAAAGCAGTGTGTTCATGTTTACCAAATTATAGTGGACAACCACCCAATTGTAGACCAGAGTGTGTAATCAATTCCGAATGTTCTTTCAATAAAGCATGCGTTAACTTAAGATGTAAATATCCGTGTCCAGGATCTTGCGGCTCCAATGCTCAATGTAATGTAGTGAATCATGTTCCTGTATGCTACTGCTTCGAAGGTTATACAGGTGATCCATTTTCTGGATGCCAAAAATGTAAGATATTGAAACCGAAAACACAATTATACCCTGATGTCAGATTTTTTGATGATCACTTTTAGTAATCCCTATCGAACAACCATCACATCCGTACAACTCTTCATTTTGTGGGGCAAATGCCAACTGTAAAGAATATAATGGAGCGGGACCTTGTACCTGTATAACTGGTTACTTTGGCGACCCCTATACTGGATGCAGACCCGAATGTGTACAGAACTCTGACTGCCCTAGAGATAAATCATGTCTTATCAATAAATGTAAAAATCCTTATTCTAGAACATGCGGACTTAATGCAGAATGCTTTATTAGAAATTATGCTTCAAATTGTGATTGTTTACCTGGATTTACAGGAAATCCAACTATATCTTGCCACCAAATACCGAGTAAGATATACCTTATTCCTTAATACACACAGCGACATGAAAAACGAGCACTTTAAAATTTGGATGTATTTTAAAATTTAGTATATTTTGTTCCAGTGGGCCGATTTTAATAATTTTTAAACAATATGTAGCTAAGTTATTTGACTTTTTAGTGTCTCCTAAATTAAAAATGAAAGTTTTCATCTGTCAATTATACGAGGGAAAACAAAATGTTGATATTTTGGTGAAAGTTTGTAACACCCTATGGAATGTGTTAAGAGGACAAGGAATTTATAAGTAAAATTTTATGATCTAGGTACATTCTTTCTGGATAATTTGTTTTTTGGTTCATTTCAATAGCTTTATTTTTATTGGAGATAATCGCTTTTGAAGAAGACACTAACATTTTTCGTAATTTTACATTACAACCATACCTTTGCTTTTGATCCTAGTCAACAGACCTAGTAAGTTGTGGTCCCGAAGCAGGTCTTCTTGACATAAGATTTGCTTTGTTTAATCTTCTTCTTACAGACCATTCACTTACATTTACGTTTCTTTGGTGTAATTCATTATAAATTTGAAAAGCTTGCAAACGACGGTTTCTTAGCGATAAACTTACAATAAGTCGGTTAAGGTTCCTGGACGTCTAGCATATGGACTTGTCTCAAGGAAGCCACTGCACTGTACTTCGTGCACAACCAAATCTGTTAGAGATATAATTTTGATCGCTATCATGTTCAATTATTAAAGCAACACATACATTACATAAATCATAAACACTATTTCATAGGTCTGTTGTCTGGGACCAAAACCAAAGGCATGGTTCTAATGTAAAAATTACGAAAAAATGTTAGTAGCTTCTTCAAAAGCGAATATCTAAAAAAAAATAAAGCTATTGAGATAAATTAAAAAATAAACTATTAAGAAAAGATGCACCTAGATGATAAAATTTCAGGTTTTAAACTTCACATTTTCAGGTTTCTTGCTTTTAACATATTCCACAGGATGTTTCAAACTTTCACCAAAATAACAACATTTTGTGTTCACTCGTATAACTGACAAATGGGAACTTTCTAAATTTAGAAAGAGGTACTAAAAAGTCAAATAATCTAGCTACAAATTGCTTAAAGGATCATCAAAATCGGTCCACTAGAAAACAATATAAAAAACTTTAAAATATATCAAAATTTTAATGTGTCCGTTTTTCGCGTCGGTGAGTGTAGTTATATAGTTTACATTATAATTGGTGTTTACCTTAGCAATAATTGAACATTCAAGAGAACCAATAAATCCATGTGTACCATCTCCTTGTGGACCTTATAGCTTGTGCAGGGAAATAAAAAATAATGCTGTATGTTCTTGCTTGCCAAATTATATTGGGGCTCCACCGATGTGCAAACCGGAATGCGTAGTCAGTTCAGATGTTCAGATAGTTCACAAGATAGGACATGTATAAATCAGAAATGTAAAGATACTTGCCCTGGTTCCTGCGTACTTGACGCTAAATATACAGTTATAAATCACAATCCCATATGTACCTGTCCGTCAGGATTTACAGAAGATCCTTTCATTCGGTGTATTGAGGAAATTAGTAAGATTTTTTATCCTATTTGTAATATTAAACTTTTCTTTGTGATATTCTTTTAGAGCGTCCAATAATTGAAGAGCCTACCGGTAATCCGTGTATTCCAACACCCTGTGGTACAAATTCGAATAGTCTGCGAGCGAAACTCTGACTCCTATCACGCAAAACACCATAACAGCAGCTAAAAATTTAGGAGGAAATATCTCAGTTCTTGTAGCAGGAACTAAATGTGGACCAGCCGCAGAAGTATTGCCTAAAACGGACGGAATTTCTAAAGTTTCAGTTGCCGAGAGTGATGTTTTTAAAGGTTTAACCGTTGAAAATCTAACGGCGTTAATTGTAGCGACACAGAATAAAGACAAATACACCCATATCCTTGCCGGCGCTTCTACTCTGGGCAAAACGGTCATTCCCAGGGTAGCAGCTAAATTAGATGTATCATCATTGTAATCATCATATTTTATTTACAACTGTAGCTAAATTTATAAAATAATTTTTTCTTCGTTTTTTTTAAATGGAACCTCCTGTATATTTTTTTTTCATGTTTTTTTTTTTTTTTTTAGTTAGTTTTTTTTGTAGTTTAGAGTATTTCGCAAAATTTATTTAACGCGTTTCGCAGATGTTCGCGGTTTTTATATTTCATATGAGCCATTTTACACAGTTAAATTTTTATCATAGCCACCCAATGGTTTTTCTCCCGTATTCGTATGCTTTTACATGAAGCGCGCATATGATAATAATACTGCGTATATCCGCAAAACTTATTAAAAATTTGAAATACTTTAGAATTACAAAAAGATGTTCATTTTTTTTAATTCCTTCAATCTAATAAAAAAATTATATACTGGGTGTTTTTTTTTTTTTTTTTTAGTTTGTTATAAGAATAATTTTGTATATTTTTAGAACCGTTTGGCCTGAGAATATTTGAAAACTCCTGTATTTGATTTACGATTGCCCTATATTTTTATAGCAGAGTAAGAACAGACCATCTAAAAGTAAGATACCTAATATAGTTTTGATGTCAGCCATACGTTTCTTGATATTTTTTAATAATTTCTTTTAAGAGAGCGGCTGAAAACAATATATTATTTTTTCATTTATTTATTTTAATATCACTGGAACTATCCAAATAGATTTACTCATATCTTAGGCATCATGTAAAGTGATCTGACAAGGAAGCCAAAAATGCAAAAAAATAAAAAAAAAAAAAAAGTTAAAAAAAAATCATCCCAGTCCACTTATCACTTTTTTGAGGCCACCCTATAGAAGTTAAATATTTTCCGGAACTAACGGTCCTGCGTACTATAACTTTAGGTTTGCACTTAAACAAAATTCCAAAGTTTTTTATTCTAGGAGCTACAGATGCCCGACGCACTATTGCCGGACCCTGTATATCTCGTATTTTTAGATGTCAAACAGACATATTTCACGTAAAAATATATTTTCTCGTTGTTTATTTCTCGTAATCACGTCTCGTAATAATTCGTATTGAAATATCTCGATTAGTTATAGTATACTATACGTAACGATTTATTCTCGAAAGAAATTCAATCCTCGTACAATTGTTGTAGCCTCATTTCTCAATCGTTTCTCGTTGATCAATGCACGTTTTGGTTTAAAAAAAATTACGTATTTTTTCGAATTTCTGGAACGTCACGAATAATAAGTTGATTCTCGTCTTGTCTCATTATATTTATTTGGTCGTTCTCTCGCACGTATATACTCGCTAGAATAAGTTTTCGTTCTCGAATCAATATTGAAAAGCCATTTTATACGAATCTTAAGTCAAAATGCCACGAAACAAATCGTCGAAAACTAACAGTAACTCCAATTCAAACAATGATGAAAAATCAGAATTTAGACACGCACGTAAGGCAGTTTCAGCTCGATTAAAAAAAATCAAAGAAAAATCAAGCCGAGATCTCGGTCTCGTTCTCGGCATAAAAAGGCCGAGACTGCTCACGATCGTCAAATTAGCTTATTTTTGAGCGTATGGCTCCACCTATCGATGCGTGGATGAATGAAATACTCGTTCAAAAAAAAAGAATGGATCATATCTGATCCAAGTGTCTGATGCATATATGATCTGATCGAATCGCGAAGGGGATTTCCCGGACGTTTGAAGAATCGCTTTGGTTACTGGATATTGCGATTGGATATTTAAACTATAAACGAAATATTAGATGTTAGTGTCTTATTAATCTAAGTTTTATAAATTTACAAAATTTTGCTTTTATATGAATTACTCGTATTTCGTTAAACTTATGGACAAGTTATAAAATTTTTGTGTGTGAAATTTAATTCCGCCACGCTCCATCCATACAGAGTGGGCTGAAACCACAGTTCTAAAATATTCTAGTCTGTGGGCCAACCAGCCAAGAACGTCGTTTGGGATTGGAGGAGGCTGTTTAGAGAGCATAATTTGAAAGGATGCCATGCTGAAAAATTACTTTTTTAGTCTATAATATAGATAAAAAAGGGAAATTTTATTACGTATCTAAATCCCAAATAAAGAGTTTCTCTGCATGAAAAAAGTTTTTAATTTACATTATTATCAGATGTTTTTTTCATATATAAATTTTTTTTTTAATTACTAAATTCTTAGCTACGCTTCTGTTTTGACTACGTTCGCGTTACAACTCGAATCGTTCATGCATTGATTTAATTATTGTTTTCCCTCTTTAAGGATGGATGCTATGATTGTGCTGACAAAAATGCACTATTTAAACTATTATTTTAACAGTTTTAGAGCTACTCGTATTTCGTATGAAAGCTATCAATTGTCGATTTTCTGGATATTATACAGGGCGAGAGCCTTAATAATGCAAATATTTTCAGGGCCCTTTGTGTAATCTGCGATAAAAAAAACAATATTTTCTTTTTACAGTTTTTTTCCAAATAACGTCCAAAAAGTAACCTGTATATTTTAGTTTAAGAATTTCCAAAAAAAAATATTTTTGTGAAAATTTATGAGAACCAACTAGATTCTTTTTAGGTTTTTCCCTCTTCTGATAAATTCCATCGTAAAACCGTTTTTTTAATTGCCGTATTATCAAGATATTTTATTATTATTATTACACTATTTCGCTAAGAACTAAAAAAAATACATTTTTTTTTTTTATATTTCACTTTTCCAAAAAAAAATCGCGAAAAAGAATGTGTTTCTGTGGTCAAAATATACTACCGCTAAAAATATTTGCACTTATTATAGACTCGCCCTGTATATCCTTTAAAAAATTCGATTTTGTTATTTTTGACTTATTACACATTTTTTTACTTAATTTATAAAGAGGCAACAATATAGGCATTCAAGAGCCATTTTTTATCTCTTTTTTAAAAATATTATTATGTAATTAACAAAATCCGAAATATTAAAATCCCTTTTTTTTTTAGTTTTTTTTTTTTTTTTATTTTTTTTAACAGTTGCTATGGATACAAAAATAAAACTTTTTTTAAATTCACTATGTCCAAATAATTAACTCATGTCTTTTAAATGATCCTTTGTACAAATTTTGAAGAGTATAATCCAGAGATCAGGAAGGTTTATATAAATTTTTACTAACTTTACCCATTTGGTTGATGAATTTCAAAAATCTCTTCTAATTTTTTCTGTAGAATTTCATTCTTCTAGACCAGATAGTTAAGGAATTTTCATACAACAAATTATTCGACATAATTTTACACTCTAAGAGGATGAATTTCCAAAAATCGTTTTGCGTAGCTAATTCAATAATCACTAATGTCATTTAAACTAACCTTTGTGCTAATATTTACGTATCTGAAGCTGACGGTATTAACTGACCTAAAATATCTAAAAACTTGATATATAATCTAACTGACACACCACTGACAATGACAAATTATTTATTTCTGGAGGTATTGCGTGTAGGTGTTTTTCAGGTATGTTTTAGTATTTAGTCGTTTTAGGCCACATCAAAGAAATGAGCCCATTAAACAATATAAAATACTTCAAAGACAATCCTAGAATATATATATACAGGATGGGTCAAATTTGACTCTTTTATATGGAAACAGCCCGTTTTTTCCTATAGGAGATAGACAAAAACTCATATCGGTGTCTGGAGCTGTCAATTTTTTTAAAAAACATGATGGTGAAACGCGCATATCGATATCTGTTTACCGTTTCGAGTTACGGGGTGGTTTGTTCAAAAATATTCATCTTTAACAAATCGCTGTAACTTTTTTGCTATGGAAAATTTTGTATTTTTATGAAAAGCATTTCCAAGCACCTTTTTACATAAAAAAAAAAAAAAAAAAAAAAAAAACTTTGTAAAATATAAATTTAAAGAATTATCACAGGAAATTGTGTTTTTTATATGGGACACCCGTATATTTTTAATGCTATTGATAAAGAATTTAAAAATTACCTTTCCAAAATATAACACACTTGATATTTTGTCCTTCCCTTTCGAGATATAGAGTATATAAAAGTTCGTCCGCTTTTAAATAAGTAGGCTTGAAAGCTTGGAACGGCACCGGCTGTAATGCAAAAAAAAAATTCTAGCTGGTGAGCAATCAATTAAAACGAAAATAATATTTGCTATGAGAGATGCAGACTTTTATAACAATTTAAAATGTATTTAACCAACATTAACACATTTAAACTATATCTCATAATAATAAAAATAAATAGCAAACCAAGACATGAGATTTTGCTACAGGTGTTCGACATATCGACTGTCTTCTGTTATCGACAGACGAGAGGGGGTCGTCTTTTAACATTTCTCGCGGAATACATCATTGTAAAAAGTAAATTGTAAAATTGAAAGATCTCATAACTGCTAAGTATTTCTGCACGGGAAACTTAAAAATAAGAACCTTTATTCTTCCGCAAAGATATCCATAGGATCAGAGCCATAGTTAGCTATTCAATAATACGCGTATAAAACTATTTCTTACACGTAAAAAATATTTGTTACGCGTAATTTTTTTTAATTTATTACTTTTTAACACTTCAAACTACATTTTTTAAATTTTGTCAATGTTTTTCAATCCTTCAATTTAATAGCTGTTATTAAGAAGTTTCACTTGAAATATGAGCACATAGTGCACACACATTTTTTTTTGGTAATTGCACCCATTACCCCTTTCTAAAACCGCGCTTGCATGGTACGGTAGAAGAACAAGGGAATAACGTATTGCATGTTGGTATGATGACATTAAAAGGGTAGCTGGACTAGCATGGCTGAGACTTGCCCAAGACAGAATATAATGGAGAGGACTAAAAACTATTTAAGTCCAAGAATATGCCAGTATCTCTATGAGCTAACGAGGTTTATATCCTATTTCAAAATAGTTATAGACTTATACTCTCCGTTTAATCTAGTATAACTTTCATTTAAGATATTCACGTTGTCGTTAATTTAATTAGAATAAAGAATACAAAAAATTCAAGTATGTATTTCCTCTTACTTTTTCAGCCTGTAACGCAGAAAAATTGTTATTATATAAATATACTATATTGCTTATATAAATATAAATTGCATTATTTAATAAATTAAATTTATTAAATTAAATATTATAATCAGGTAAAGATATTCATATCACTCATCCATATTGCTAAGAAATGCCACTTAAGACTAACGGCCGAGGTAATAAAAGGCATATGGGTACTGCGCCTAAAGTAGCACCCGACAGCGACAATCGGTTGGCTATCTCGCGTGTTACGAGTCTCTCATCCGATGTCTCATACTACACGGTGTAGGGCTGTAATTCGACCCGAGTGCGAAAAGTGTGTATCAAAAAAAAGTGTGAATCAGGCGTATCCCTGAATGATTTAACGATAGCAGGCCCGACAGTTCAAGATGATTTATACAACATTTTAATTCGGTTGCGTTTAAGAAAAGTTTTCGATTTAAAAACCGTGACTAACGGTAGCGCAAGCGCTCTATATTAAGCCACACGCTGTTTAAAAGAACTTTCAGAAATTATTAAACTTAATCCACGTACTGCATCAATAATTAATAATTCCTTTTACATTGACGACTTATTGATTACTATAGATACAGAACAAGAAGCTATGGAAATTTATCACGAACTAGTAGAAATTTTAACGAGCGCGAAATTCGAATTAAGAAAATGGTCGTCGAATAGCGAAAAAATATTTAAATTATATTATAAATTATATTTTAAGTACAAGCTAGAAGCATGACGATAAGTTAGTATTATTTCACGTCGACAAGGAGTTAAAAACATTAGGTATTGCGTGGAGCCCTAATCAAGATCTTTTAAAATACTCAATAGAGATTAAAAAGAGCGAAGAAAAGGTAACAAAGCAATCTGTGTTATCTATGATTTCTGATATTTACGATCCTCTTGGATTGATTAGTCCAGCTATCATTAAAGTAAAATTTATAACACAAAGGTTGTGGCATCTTAAACTAGATTGAGACCAAGATATACCGAATGACCTAAAAGAACATTGGTTACAATTTTTATCAGAAATTAAGCATCTTAATAACGTAAGAATCGATCGTCACGATTTAACGCTTAACATAGAAAAAGTCGAGATGTATGGTTTTACTGATAGTAGCGAAATAGCATATTGTGTATAGTATTTGTCTAGTATATAGTCTAAATAATGGCGCGGTCGTCGTCGCACGCGAGAAACAGCTCTCCCGAAGTTTTAATATATAAAGGGAAATAATAATAATTTATGTTTTATTTAAAGCCTTAGTAGTGAGTGATAGTAGAAGAATAATTAGTGCAAATTTTAAAAATGGTGTTAACTAAACAACAAGCATCAGATATTGAAGAATTAATTCAGAATCTGCGACAGAAACAGGATATTGCACAAACAATAGCAAGTATAGTTACAAAGAAGATTAATGACCATATAAAACAAAAATTTGAAGAATGCGATGAAAAAATTTCCCAACTTGAAGCCGAAGTTAGAACAATTAAACAAATAAGTAGCCCGAAACACGACGGTTTAGAACCCAAAATAGATGAAATTCAGCAGGCGACAAAAAACAACAATTTGCGATTTATGGGTATACAAGAAACGCCAAATGAAAACATTGCGAACAAGGTCATTGATATCATACAAACAACAATGAATTTAAATGTAAATAAAGATCAGCTGATTTCTGTATACCGATGCAAATATAGGAAGGCGAACCGTCCTGGACACGTTGTGGTGGCATTTGAAACAAACGAAATTAAGATGAATGGTGTACAACAATAAACGAAATCTTCGAGGTACAGGTGTCTTTGCAAGTGAAGACCTAACTGCTGAGCGACTAAAAGTGGTCAGGGAAGCGTCAGATTTATATGGCTTTAAAAATGTATTGACTGTTAATGGATTGGTTTATGCAAAGACTGACAGCGGGGTGAGGAATATACTGAAAGATATCGTGCCAAGGGAGGGGGCTGTTTGAGTGTATATTTATTTTACTGCTTGTTAATTTTCATGTTTCTTAGAGCTTATGTTAAATTTAAGTTTATATTATCAAAACTGCAGGGGAATTAAGTCGAAGTTGAGGAGTGTATTTGAGTGGTCCAGTGATCGGCACTATGACACTGTGTGTGCAACGGAAACTTGGCTCTCGGAGAATGAATTCGGTGGAGAAATAATGGATGGCTACAATTTAATACGATGTGATAGAAATTCACTAAAGACTGGTAAGAGTAGGGGGGGCGGTGTGCTTATTGCTTTAAAAGATTGTTTTAGTATATTGAAAATAGTTAAAAGACCTGAGCGCTATGAGGCACTATCTGTTACCTATAAAAAAGCAAAGGATGTCTTTAATATTATAGTAGCCTATATTCCTCCTTCTCTAACAATTAATGATTATTGAATGACTTTTTTGAATTTGCTAGTGAACAAAGAGTTAAGGGTGTATATAATTATATAATAGGGGATTTCAATTTGGGTTTGATGGGAGGCTGTTTGAGTTTGAGCACTGACGCGGGGTCTAATGATATTATGAAAGAATTCCACGATTTTATAAATTATAATTCATATGAAATGTGTAATAATATTTTGAATATTAATGGAAAAACGCTTGATCATTTCTTGACAACTTCTGATAATAAATATAATATTAATATTATAAAATGTCATTTGCCAATGGTGACTGAGGACATTCATCACCCAGCGTTATGCGTCACAGTAAATATGGTGAAAGAGTTGTCTAAATTTAATTCAAAAGAAATTCCTACAGATCGCCAATACAATAATTATAGAAAATGTAACTTTTATGAACTAGCTACACTGGTGCGTGACGCTGACTGGTCTGCAGTGATTAGAGAGTCTGACGTTCCGCTCAAAGTGTTTTATGAAATTTTATTTGATATTATTGATCGTGTTACTCCAAAGGAAAGAAAACGAAAATTAAATTTTCCAGTTTGGTTTTAGCCTGATTTAATTAAGAGTATAAAATTAAAAAATAAACTTAATAAATTAAAAAGATATGATGAAGATGCTAAAAGCGAATATATCGAATTAAGAAAAAATATTAAAAAACAAACTAGAATCGAGTATCAGAGTTTTATCTCGAACAGCGAGAGTCCAATAAATACAGCTCAATTTTGGTCTTTTATAAAGGCAAAAAAGAATAACAACCTAAAACTGTAATAAATGTATGAAATTGCTATCATTTAATTAGATATTCAAATATTTTAGTAGTTTGTAAATGATGTAAGTAATGTTTATTTATACGAATGTGTGGAATGTAATACTTAGTTTAGTTTACATCATGTTATTTTATGAACCATATATTTAATACATAGAATAAAAGTCAGTGTAATTTGGAACACTCAGCTAAATAGTTTTATTTCAAATATTAAATACTAAATTATCACAAGCGGCGACGAGATTAAACTCACGCAAAATTTAATAAAATTTAATAATTGTTCTAATAGTGACATAATACAGTTAGTATTAATAAATTCAAAATGTCGATTGGAAAAATAAGTGAATTCCAACCGGGCACGAAAAACTGGAAAAATTATATTACCAGATTCGAGCAGTTTTTGAAAGTGAATAAAATTGGAGAATTGAAAATGGCAACGTTATTGACCACAGTTGGTGACGAGACCTACGAATTAATGATTGAGTTGTGTAATCCAGAAAATCCAGAAAATAAAAGTTATAATGACTTAGTCAAGATTATGACTGAACATTTGCAGCCTGAAACATCAATTATAGCAGAACGGCATAAGTTTCGGCAAAGACGCCAAGAAAAGGGAGAAACAATAGCTGCATTTATGGCATCTCTCAAACATTTGGCAAAAACATGTGGTTTTGGAGCACAACTGGACGAGAATCTACGTGATCAGTTTGTTTCTGGACTTCAAAATGAAAATATCAAGCAGAGGCTATTTTCAGAGAAAAATTTGACGTATAACAAGGCATTTTCATTGGCAAAAGACTTTGAAGCGGCACAAAAACGTGTTTCTTTTGTGGACGCCGGACAATCCATCCATAAATTGTTCAATACGAATAGACAGCATCCATCAACTGGAAGTTTCCATGGAACATCCGTTAGAAGTACTGCAGACGGCGGAGTTGTTAGAAGAAAACCGGGAAATCAATCTGCATCAACATCTCAAGGCTACAGGGAGTGTACAGTGTGTGGCAGGAAAAATCATCGAGTATCTGACTGTTTTTATAAAAATGCAACATGTGTGCGTTGTGGAAAAAAGGGGCATTTGAAGTATGTCTGTAAGTTCAAGTTTAAAAACAAAAATTCCAAAAATGTTAATATTATTGAGTCAAATGTGCAAAATTTAAATGAATTTGATTCTGATTCGGATACTTCTTTAAAATTATGCCATACTAATATTAATTCAATTAATAAATATAGTAATCCTATTTTAATTCAAGTTAAAATTGAAAGTATAAATTTATCTATGGAGGTGGATACTGGATCTGCTGTATCTGTAATATCGAATGATTTATATAAAAAATATTTTTCTCATATTCCAATATTATTTTCTGATATAAAACTCCTTTATACTCATCCTTTACTGGAAATAATATAAAAGTTATAGGTTACATAAAGGTTAATGTTATTTATAATAATAATAAGACTTATTTAGAACTTTTTATTGTACCAAGTAAGGCACCAACTCTTGTAGGACGAACTTGGCTATCAAGATTAAAAATTAATATATACAATGATGTTCTTGTAAAAAGTATTTTACATTGCGATAACAATTTAGAAATAAATTCATTAACTAAGGAATTTAAGGAAATATTTGACCTTAGAATTCCTGGAAAATTTAATCTTTTTAAAGCAGTTTTACATCTTAAGCCAAACGTAACACCAATTTTCTGTAAAGCTAGACCTTTGCCTATTAATTTAAAGAGTAAAGTTGAACATACTTTAAAAGCAATGACAGACAAAGGTGTCATTTCTCCTATCGATTATAGCGAATGGGCTAGTCCGATAGTACCAGTAGTAAAGGAAAACGGTGATATAAGAATCTGTGGAGATTTTAAAGTTTCTATTAATCAAAAATGCGTTAACCCAAATGGAAACTACTTGTCAGAAGTTAGGTTTACAGATATACAAATTTACCTAACGAACAAAAAAATACTTAATGTTTCGGACAGTTTATCTCTTTCCGTCGTCGGAAGCAAAAAAAAATACACAGAATAAAGAAAAAAACAATTTAAACTATTATAACTATTCGAGAACACTTTAGGTTTTTAAAACAGATACGTCTACAAAAACCGTTGACGTTCTGTTAAAATGGCATTATATCAAATTAAACTTCAAAATTAACAATTACTACCTGATAATAATTACTTAATAAGATAAAACCAAAAAACCCCAAACTTTCTGTATGATTATTTTTCATTTTTACGTATGTTATGTTTATTTATGCTGTGTTCTTTCAAATCAAAGAAGTAATTGCCATACATTATTAACATCTACAGATGCATGAGCAATACATGTTTTAAAAAACTAAAGTGTTCTCGAATAGTTGAATTTAAATATTTTAAATAGTTTTTTTTTCTTTATTCTTTGTATTTTTTTTTGCTTCCGATGACGGAAAGAGATAAACTTTCCGAAACGTTAAGCATTTTTTTGTACGTAAGGCAAATTTGTATATCTGTAAACCTAACTTCTGACAAGTAGTTTCCGTTTGGGTTAACGCAGAAGTGTTTACAAAAAATAAATATTTTATTTTGTAGATTTTCTTGCATGGCGAAATACCCATATAGGATTTTTGGAGAGCTAAAATCTAATGTTGTATTTGTTTTTACTGTACTATGAACATGTTTCGATCGTTATATGTTTATACAATGTGCATTTTGTTACGTGTTTCTAAGTCTTACAATATAATTAGAAGCATTTTTTGAATAATATAGGGTTTGCCATTTTTATTTATCTTATTGGGCATTATTTTTACTTTTGTGTTCAGTTAAAAATAAAGTTGGGGATCGTCGTTGCGAATCATGTTAAATTGATTTAATCTTATTATTAAAGTTTGAGTTTGAGTTATTAAAGTTCATTATTGAGTGATATGAATAAAAGTTTATTTTTGTGTTTTTATGTTGAAAATTAAAGCTACTATGAAATTATAAACTTACTAATATACATAATATATGTATCGTAGGAGGTGGCTTCGATTCGTCAAGAGATGCCGTGAGTATGAAACTGCAATACCAAAAATTTTTATTTTTATTTTTCCGAAAAATGTCAAGAAAAGTGTAAAATTTTCAGCAAATTTTTTACAAAGTATACGTTCAATAACGATAACAAGGGGCCACGGCCATCCTCTGCCAGAAACACTTGGACCAAAGTACACGTTACTACCACTTAAAATGCTTGCACTTATTTAGGAGATACTCTGTACGGTATTACTGTAAATACAACCGTAACTACTGACAAGAGGACAAAGGATTTTAGTCACAGTAAAATGAAATTTAAATAAATACTTTTGATTTTCAAATAGACTTAAACAAAATTCCTATTTACTTAAATCTGTAATTGTAACTGTACAAAATGCAACTGATGTTTCGTATGATTAGTGGATCTATAACTTGATAAATTCAATTTTACCTTCTTGTTGTACAATAATTCATGTTAACGTAAATGTAAATATTAATTTTTTGTTAATTTAAAAAAAATAATAAAATATTTAAAAAATAAGATTTTTTCGTAGCATTGTATGGAAATTTTTATACACTAAAGCAATCACTTAATCATATATTAGCAAATATGTAAATATGAAGACCCAAGAATGTAATCACAAATTAATCAACAACTTATTTACCTTTGTAAGCAACAAACTTAGGCATCTGCTGTTGTAGATTTACCCCACTATAATTATTTCTTTTCTATTACTATTACTTTTTATTTTTCAACTCTATTCAACGCTTTACTTTTTCTCATGTGTAGTGTATAAATACTGTCATTTTTCCTTGTAGTCGTAGAAGAACCGCGACATCATTGCAACCCATCCCCATACGGTGCAAATGCTCTTTGCAGAGGACAAAACGGAGCGGGCTCTTGCTCTTGTATTACAGGGTTTTTCGGCGATCCCTGTTCAGGTTGTCGTCCCGAATGAACCATAACTACGCAATATGAAATGCGTAGACCCTTGCCCTGGAACTTGCGGTGTTAACGCAGAATGTTCTGTTATTAATCATAATCCACAATGTTATTGCACTCCCGGCTACACAGGAAATGCGTTAATTTTGTGCCGAAAAATTGAACCCAGTAAGATTATCAGATTTTTTGTCATATTAGAGACCCTACAGTTTTAATATTTTAGTTGTTGTTGAAGCGCCAAAAGAAAAGCCTTATGTCCCATCACCTTGCGGCCCTTACAGCACGTGTCGCAGTCAAGGACAAAGACCGGTGTGTTCTTGTATATCAGGCTATTACGGATCTCCCCCCATGTGTAAACCTGAATGCATTATCAACTCTGAATGTACTTTATACAAGACATGCCAAAATCAAAAATGCGTTGATCCTTGTCCGGGAATATGTGGCATTAATGCTCTATGCAGAGTCGTAAACCATAGCCCTATTTGTAGCTGCCCTCAGTCCTTTGAAGGAGATCCCTTTATTAGATGTTTACCGGAAATAAGTAAGAACTGGCACAAAATAATCGGTTTTTACAAATCTAACAACAAAAAAATAACTCTACTAAAATAACTTAAAAATTATTTAAGAAAAACTAAAACGAGTAATACCCTAACCCCAAAATTTTAAACGAAAATTGTTTTTTAGAACCGCCAGTTGCTATCCGGGGTCACGTCTGAAAGCGACTGCCCATCAGCTTCACCCGAAAGTGACAGAAGTGGTACCACAGATTCCATACACTACCACCACAGGATGGAGACTGCAGGACCGACGCTAGCCATAATCATTTCACCGGCTCGCAAGTTCCGTTCGGACAATACGCATATTACAATGGTAATTTATCCATACCATCAACTTCAGGAGGTGGCGATTCATCAATAAGCAACATGGATATTTCGAGTCAAAACGTCGACAATTCTAGTGATAACGATCTAACTGATATTAACAAGCCCAAATTCAATTCACATGGAAAAGTCAAGCAGCACAAGTGCAAGCACTGTAAATATGTCGCTATTACCAAACTGGATTATTGGGAACTGGATATTTACATCTTTAGTTAACGCATGCTTTATGAAAGAACATTCGGAATTGATTACACACTCTGGTCTACAATTGGGTGGTTGTCCACTATAATTTGGTAAACATGAACACACTGCTTTGTTATTCACATTTTTACATTCCCCAAAAGATCCACAAGGAGAGGGGATGTATGGATTTGATATTTCGATATCTTAAATCGGATTATATTATAAATCTGTTAGATTATATATAGCGATTAATCAGTCTTACATAAACAAAACGTATATATAACAGATTTTGATTAAGTCGCTCCAGCAAAATCACAAAATACACAAAAAATTTAAACTTTCAAAAAATTCAAACCAAACCAAACCAAACTTTTATTTTTGACTTCTATTATGAACTTCCACTGCTAATAATAAACGTTTGTAATCTACACTGTTCATAAGATTACCTAACAACAAATTGGCGAGCGAATTCTGACCTAATGTATCTTCAGCCTAATTACACTATCAACGTACGATAGAGTGAATCTATAGTTAAAATTGTTCAAAACTGTAGCATTTAGTTTCACGAGTTTGTGTAAGTTGTCACTCTATCGTACACTGATTTAGTAATATTTAATACTAGTCACATTAATGTGCAATTGATTAATTCTATTAGGCATTAGAATTAAAATGACTCATCGACATTTTTTATACTAAAGAAAAATAAAGTTTAATCGCGACAGCTGCAGATTCAAAAGACAAAGATTTTAAGACCTAGCTTGTTTCTCAGGCTTAAAAGTATTCCTCAAGATATATAAGACGATATTTAAAAGATATTATTCTTGTGACAGTAGCTTTTAGACTTGTTGCTGTTCTCTGAAATAGAAGCAAAATTCTGAGCGAGTTTGTTGCTTATATAATAGAGCAGACCGTACTTCTCTGAATTTGTCTGGATGGTCTATGTAGGTTCCTAAGTAAATCCATTGTATGACTTACATATAATATTCATATTTTTAGTGCCAAAGTTTGATTTTACTAATCAGCATTTCTTTCTACCTCTTAAATTTGCATTTTGTGAATTTTTAACATTTATCTATCGTATTTATGATAAATTGACTTACTACATTAATGGACTGATTTTCTTTAGTAATAATAGTCACATTGTTGGAAACACATATATACAGGATGTGACTAGAACGTCGCAACAAATAAAAAGCTTTTATTATTGAATTATTTAAGAAATATCTGTGCCAAGTTTATTAACATAACGGGTTTTAAAAAAATATATACATGTTTTTTGAAAGATGTTCAAAATGTCCTAAACTTTCATCAAACAATGTAAGTCCATGTATATTCATACAACTTGGTACATAGATGTAAAATCAAATTCTGATCATCTTTATTTGATTTTTTATATCCTGTATATAGGCTTCATACTTTTTATTTTCATCAACAATATTATAGTACAAAGATATTTATTTGATCTCTTCTTTTAAGCCATATTTATATTAAATGTAAAACTGGTGGACAGTAAGTTTGTGTATAATTGTGATTTGTTAGTATTCGAGTACATACTCTGATCCTGTTTGTAACAAATATATTTTACATTTTTAATTTCTTATAAATTTACCTAATTTTAGATTAAGATTTTTGTATATATGATTTGGGTAACATTTATTTAACTGTATTAGATATAGGTTTAGATTTAAGTAAATTTTAGATATTACTAAGGAGTCAAATTTAGTCTTACCAAATTAATTAGTATATTTTGGGAAATGGCTGACCAAATATTTCCAAATGAGTAAAAATATCTACAATGGAATAGGCTCTATATTTACATTACATTTCTTAAAAAGTATTACAATAGTCACATGAATAATTTGAAGATGGAATAATTTTTATTTAAGGATCTAAATATGGACTATATTATAATTATAGTAATACTATAATGTCCTTATGTATTTATTACATCTCCTTTTAATAAATATGTAAGTATATTATTTCTATTTATATTTTTGTACTTGCAAGATTTGATTTAAAAATCTAATAATTTGGCTACAGTACTCAATGAATCGTGCAGTGTGTAAATAATTTGAATATACAGGGCGTACAAAGTCGAACTATCACTTTATTATGTTATATTCACTCAAAAGTAACTTAATTTTATTTAAGTATTATTTATCTTTCTAGACAGCCATGGGAATTATACCAAAACACTAGATTTAAGGATGCGACAGCACAGTATAAACGGTCTGACCATAGCAAAGTACTTAGAAAAGCACCCGAAAGTCGAGAAAGTACTCCATCCAGGTCCCCCAGTAACACTTTTATTTTTTCATTTCTCTATGTAAAATTTCTGTTTTTTTTTCTTTATAGGTCTAAAATCACATCCACAGCACGAACTGTTCAAGAAACAGGCTTCGGGGCATAGTGGTACCTTTTCCTTCTACATAAAAGGTGGTTCCGAAGAGACCAAAACCTTTCTGAATAATCTAAAAATATTTACCACTGCCGAAAGTTTAGGAGGATATGAAAGCTTGATAAAAATTCCGTAAGTAAATTTGATTTAACCTTAAGAAGAAAAAAAAACGGCGTCAGAGTAGCCTCGGAAAAGAATCGCAGTAATTTCAAAGGCAACTCGACGCCGTTTTTTTTTTCGATAATGCGGTGTAAGTATTTAAAAAACGTATTTTTTTGTTCTAGTTCTATAATGACGCACGCGTCTGTTCCACCGGAACACAGGGTGGTTCTGGGAATCACAGGCAACTTGATTAGGGTGTCTGTTGGTATCGAAGATGTCGAAGATCTGGTTGCGGATTTGGAGTTTGGTTTCCAGAAAATATAAAACGATTTTTTCTCGAATATTTTTTTAAAAAAATCCTACGCTACGCGGAACCTGAGGAGTCAAATTTAGTCTTATCAAATTAATTAGTATATTTTGGGAAATGGCTGACATTACATTTCTTAAAATGTATTACAATAGTCACATGAATAATTTGAAGATTGAATAATTTTTATTTAAGGATCTCAATATGGACTATATTATAATTATAGTAATACTATAATGTCCTTATGTATTTATTACATCTCCTTTTAATAAATATGTAAGTATATTATTTTCTATTTATATTTTTGTACTTGCAAGATTTGAGACTGATGTTAGTTTAAATTTTTTGTGTATTTTGTGATTTTGCTGGAGCGACTTAATCAAAATCTGTTATATATACGTTTTGTTTATGTAAGATTGATTAATCGCTATATACCGTATGATCGAATAAAAACGGCGTCCAGTTGGCTTGGAAATGACGATCGATGGCATTTCCTATATAAATTTACATATAAAATGACAGCGATCTTCATTTCATAGCCATCGCTGACGCCGTTTTTATTCGATCATACGGTATAATCTAACAGATTTATAATATAATCCGATTTAAGATATCGAAATATCAAATCTATACATCCCCTCTCCTTGTGGATCTTTTGGGGAATGTAAAAATGTGAATAACAAAGCAGTGTGTTCATGTTTACCAAATTATAGTGGACAACCACCCAATTGTAGACCAGAGTGTGTAATCAATTCCGAATGTTCTTTCATAAAGCATGCGTTAACTAAAGATGTAAATATCCGTGTCCAGGATCTTGCGGCTCCAATGCTCAATGTAATGTAGTGAATCATGTTCCTGTATGCTACTGCTTCGAAGGTTATACAGGTGATCCATTTTCTGGATGCCAAAAATGTAAGATATTGAAACCGAAAACACAATTATACCCTGATGTCAGATTTTTTGATGATCACTTTTAGTAATCCCTATCGAACAACCATCACATCCGTGCAACCCTTCACTTTGTGGGGCAAATGCCAACTGTAAAGAATATAATGGAGCGGGACCTTGTACTTGTATAACTGGTTACTTTGGCGACCCCTATACTGGATGCAGACCCGAATGTGTACAGAACTCTGACTGCCCTAGAGATAAATCATGTGTTAACAATAAATGTAAAAATCCTTATTCTAGAACATGCGGACTTAATGCAGAATGCTTTGTTAGAAATTATGCTCCAAATTGTGATTGTTTACCTGGATTTACAGGAAATCCAACTATATCTTGCCACCAAATACCGAGTAAGATTTACCTTATTCCTTAATACACTCAGCGACATGAAAAACCGGCACTTTAAAATTTGGATGTATTTTAAAATTTAGTATATTTTGTTCTAGTGGGCCGATTTTTAATAATTTTTAAACAATATGTAGCTAAGTTATTTGACTTTTTAGTGTCTCCTACATTAAAAATAAAAGTTTTTATCTGTCAATTATACGAGGGAAAACAAAATGTTTATATTTTGGTGAAAGTTTGTAACACCCTGTGGAATGTGTTAAGAGGACAAGGAATTTATAAATAAAATTTTATGATCTAGGTACATTCTTTCTGGATAATTTGTTTTTTTGGTTCATTTCAATAGCTTTATTTTTATTGGAGATAATCGCTTTTGAAGAAGACACTAACATTTTTCGTAATTTTACATTACAACCATACCTTTGCTTTTGATCCTAGTCAACAGACCTAGTAAGTTGTGGTCCCGAAGCAGGTCTTCTTGACATAAGATTTGCTTTGTTTAATCTTCTTCTTACCGACCATTCACTTACATTTACGTTTCTTTGGTGTAATTCATTATAAAATTGAAAAGCTTGCAAACGACGGTTTCTTAGCGATAAACTTACAATAAGTCGGTTAAGGTTCCTGGACGTCTAGCATATGGACTTGTCTCAAGGAAGCCACTGCACTGTACTTCGTGCACAACCAAATCTGTTAGCGATATAATTTTGATCGCTATCATGTTCAATTATTAAAGCAACACATACATTACATAAATCATAAACACTATTTCATAGGTCTGTTGTCTGGGACCAAAAGCAAAGGCATGGTTTTAATGTAAAAATTACGAAAAAATGTTAGTAGCTTCTTCAAAAGCGAATATCTAAAAAAATAAAGCTATTGAGATAAATCAAAAAATAAACTATCAAGAAAAGATGCACCTAGATGATAAAATTTCAGGTTTTAAACTTCACATTTTCAGGTTTCTTGCTTTTAGCATATTCAACAGGATGTTTCAAACTTTCACCAAAATAACAACATTTTGTGTTCACTCGTATAACTGACAAATGGGAACTTTCTAAATTTAGAAAGAGGTACTAAAAAATCAAATAATCTAGCTACAAATTGCTTAAAGGATCATAAAAATCGGTCTACAAGAAAACAATATAAAAAACTTTAAAATATATCAAAATTTTAATGTGTCCGTTTTTCGCGTCGGTGAGTGTAGTTATATAGTTTACATTATAATTGGTGTTTGCCTTAGCAATAATTGAACATCCAAGAGAACCAATAAATCCATGTGTACCATCTCCTTGTGGACCTTATAGACTGTGCAGGGAAATAAAAAATAATGCTGTATGTTCTTGCTTGCCAAATTATATTGGGGCTCCACCGATGTGCAAACCGGAATGCGTAGTCAGTTCAGAATGTTCGCAAGATAGGACATGTATAAATCAAAAATGTAAAGATACTTGCCCTGGTTCCTGCGTACTTGACGCTAAATGTACAGTTATAAATCACAATCCCATATGTACCAGTCCGTCAGGATTTACAGGAGATCCTTTCATTCGGTGTATTGAGGAAATTAGTAAGATTTTTTATCCTATTTGTAATATTAAACTTTTCTTTGTGATATTGTTTTAGAGCGTCCAATAATTGAAGAGCCTACCGGTAATCCGTGTATTCCAACACCCTGTGGTATAAATTCGAATAGTCTGCGAGCGAAACTCTGACTCCTATCACGGAAAACACCATAACAGCAGCTAAAAATTTAGGAGGAAATATCTCAGTTCTTGTAGCAGGAACGAAATGTGGACCAGCCGCAGAAGCATTGTCTAAAACGGACGGAATTTCTAAAGTTTTAGTTGCCGAGAGTGATGTTTTTAAAGGTTTAACTGTTGAAAATCTAACGGCGTTAATTGTAGCGACACAGAATAAAGACAAATACACCCATATCCTTTCCGCCGCTTCTACTCTGGGTAAAACGGTCATTCCCAGGGTAGCAGCTAAATTAGATGTATCATCATTGTAATCATCATATTTTATTTACAACTGTACAAATATTTCTACTTTTTATAATAATATAGCAGACTGTTTTTGTTTAGTAAGAGCATGTGGACCAGCCGCAGAAGCATTGTCTAAAACGGACGGAATTTCTAAAGTTTTAGTTGCCGAGAGTGATCATTTGTGAGGTTTTAAAGTACCCTGGTTATATCAGAAGACAACAACGAAACTCTGACTCCAATCAGACAAAACACCATAACAGCAGCTAAAAATTTATGAGGAAATATCTCAGTTCTTGTAGCAGGAACGAAATGTGGACCAGCCGCAGAAGTATTGTCTAAAACGGACGGAATTTCTAAAGTTTTAGTGGCCGAGAGTAATGTTTTTAAAGGTTTAACCGTTGAAAATCTAACGGCGTTAATTGTAGCGACACAGAATAAAGACAAATACACCCATATCCTTGCCGGCGCTTCTACTCTGGGCAAAACGGTCATTCCCAGGGTAGCAGCTAAATTAGATGTATCATCATTGTAATCATCATATTTTATTTACAACTGTACAAATATTTCTACTTTTTACAATAATATAGCAGACTGTTTTTGTTTAGTAAGAGCCCCAATTCCACTAACAATTATTTGCAAAAAAACCATGCTTTCCAGACGTATAGGAAACCAGTTTTGTGGGCATTTCAAAGGATCATTTGGGAGGTTTCAAAGGAAACAGTTTTGTGGGCATTTCAAAGGATCATTTGGGAGGTTTTAAAGTACCCTGGTTATATCAGAACACAACAACGAAACTCTGACTCCAATCAGGCAAAACACCATAACAGCAGCTAAAAATTTAGGAGGAAATATCTCAGTTCTTGTAGCAGGAACGAAATGTGGACCAGCCGCAGAAGCATTGTCTAAAACGGACGGAATTTCTAAAGTTTTAGTTGCCGAGAGTGATCATTTTTGAGGTTTAGAGTACACTGGTTATATCAGAACACAACAACGAAACTCTGACTCCAATCAGGCAAGATACCATAACAGCAGCTAAAAATTTAGGAGGAAATATCTCAGTTCTTGTAGCAGGAACGAAATGTGGTTTGATCATTTGTGAGGTTTTAAAGTACCCTGGTTATATCAGAACACAACAACGAAACTCTGACTCCAATCAGGCAAAACACCATAACAGCAGCTAAAAATTTAGGAGGAAATATCTCAGTTCTTGTAGCAGGAACGAAATGTGGACCAGCCGCAGAAGCATTGTCTAAAACGGACGGAATTTCTAAAGTTTTAGTTGCCGAGAGTGATCATTTGTGAGGTTTTAAAGTACCCTGGTTATATCAGAAGACAACAACGAAACTCTGACTCCAATCAGACAAAACACCATAACAGCAGCTAAAAATTTATGAGGAAATATCTCAGTTCTTGTAGCAGGAACGAAATGTGGACCAGCCGCAGAAGCATTGTCTAAAACGGACGGAATTTCTAAAGTTTTAGTTGCTGAGAGTGATCATTTGTGAGGTTTTAAAGTACCCTGGTTATATCAGAACACAACAACGAAACTCTGACTCCAATCAGGCAAAACACCATAACAGCAGCTAAAAATTTAGGAGGAAATATCTCAGTTCTTGTAGCAGGAACGAAATGTGGACCAGCCGCAGAAGCATTGTTTAAAACGGACGGAATTTCTAAAGTTTTAGTTGCTGAGAGTGATCATTTGTGAGGTTTTAAAGTACCCTGGTTATATCAGAACACAACAACGAAACTCTGACTCCAATCAGGCAAAACACCATAACAGCAGTTAAAACTTTAGAAGGAAATATCTCAGTTCTTGTAGCAGGAACGAAATGTGGACCAGCCGCAGAAGCATTGTCTAAAACGGACGGAATTTCTAAAGTTTTAGTTGCTGAGA